TGTCTGGATGAGCCTTACAACTAGCGCAACAAGTTCAAGCACCCTGTTAAAATACTCTTGAAAATATTGCAATCAGATAGGAGCTCCTGTATTCTGTACATATAAGGACTATTTCCACAATACCCTTATATAGTCCTATGATGCCAGTTCATTTAAAAAAAAATTTTTTTAATAAATAAATCAGAAGTTAGGTCTTCTATCCTTGCCAAACAGAAAGGAAAGGAGCATTTATAAAGTTAGGGTTGTTTATCAACAGTTATATTATTTGCATGGTGGTAGCACTTAGTGGCTCTAAGCCATGTATCACAGCACCATTGTGCTAAGTGCTGTAAAACAACACAGTTGTGGGACAAGAGCTGAGGATGACAAAGTTCAACTAAAGTTACTTATTCTACTGGTGTTACTTGGAGTGTCAAGTAGAATAAAAAGACAAGGAGGTAGAAAATAAAGCAGGATTATGTGAATGGGCTTGGGCATCAATTATTAATCTCAACCAAGAACTTTATTTAACAAACAACACAATAAAATACACAGAATGCTTCAAGACACAGACAACTTTTAAAAATACACACTTTCAAATTACAAAGGAATACGTGAGGGGGCAGCATCTATATTTAAATATTCAAGCATCACCGCTGAAAGGGATTCACCTGTGTTACCAACAGTGGTTAGAATGTACAAGCTTGATTTTCAACCTTTTTAAAACCTCACCCCAGCCTAAAAATAGGGAAAGGTTTCAGGCCCCCCAATCTAGCCATCAAAAGAAAGAGGGTGGGTGTGACACCCTTAGACCTAATTGTGACCCCTGAGTTGCGAGTCCATCATGATCAGTGCTTAGTACAACAGGACCCTAGGCCTGAGGCCTCCAGGCAGAACCGAGATATAAATTTTAGGTGGCTCAAAAGAAAAGCTGCTCCTGGCCTCTCCATCCCCCATGACGTCTCTTTGTGCCGAGGGGGCTGTGTATCTCCTGAGTAGTTCATACCCCCTAAAGTGCCATTCTGGCTGGGGCCTGGGAACCCCATGAGGGCTTCTTCCCCCCAGCTCCTAGAGCAACTGCCAAGATTTCCACAAATGATTTTGCGTGCCTGGTTTGTATGAAAAGGGCTGTACTTGCGGGGGTGGGGGAGAGGGGTGTTGAGCCCTTGCTTTAATAACAGGCCCCTGGGGGGGGGGGTCACGTTGGGACTCCAAAACTGAGGCATCATAACTCACTCGTCACTGCTGAAGGCCTTGGCCACTTGCTCTAGGTTCACTGGGGCTGGAGCAGTCACCTCCCTCTCCCCAGTTATTCTGGGTTGCTGCCTTCCCAACCAATTCATCCAGCCCCAACATCATTTTCCCCTTGCAGCGCCCTGACCTAGGCTGGGAGTCAGGAGGAGATGGGGTGCTCCTGCATTGTCTGGATAGGCTACAGGCTGTGGCTGCTGCTGGGCTCAAGGAGCTGCCCTCGCCCCCTTGGAGCCCAGGCTAGGCTACTGCTCTGGCTCCAGTCTGGCCTCACCTCTCCCACTTGCTGGTCCACAGCTGCTGTGGCCAGCTTGGCCGTACAATGGACTAGTGACCATGAAGCGACGCTGTTGTGCAGCTCTCCAGCGCAGCTGCAGCCACACAGAACACATGGGCTGGGCAGGGTAGGACAGGAGCAGCCAGCCCAGCAGGGCAGAGGAGAAGTGAATGATCAAAATTAATCTCACTTGTTATGGCTCAGACTAGATTTTGACTGTTTCAATAGGTTTCTGTAGTTATAACTCTTGAGATGGGGGGTGAGTAATACTGTCCAAGGAGGGCAGTTTGGCATTTGCTTTCAAGTAGAAGGCCCTTAGTTCAGGCTGTGGTCAGTTATGCCCAAATAATGCCCCACTGTTAGGGACTGTTGGTTAAATAGTTATTAGACAGCAGGCTGTAGGATTTTCTGAGTCCAAAACTATTTTTTTAATAGCCCTAGCACTGAACAAACAAGCCTCAGGTGAATGCAGTAGCAGGGGAAGTGCATGTAACTTCCAATTTGTGTCAGTATACCTAATGTTCCAATCAACTAAGTAGCAATGCTTCAGCAGTGATAAAAAGGTCCAGCAAAAGACTCATGGCACCACTGAAAAGCACTGTAAGGAAAGAAGGTACATTGCTGCGGCTGAGTAGCCAGTATACTAGAAATGTTATTTCTAGTGCAGTATATAACAGTTCCCCCTGCTTTATCTTCCTTCATAGCCCATCACAGATATTGCTGTCAATTACCTCAGACACTAGCTGGAAGCACATGTAATAAAATAAGATTATATACCTACCTTAGGTGATCAGTCACTGTGACACTAAATGTTTTTAGTAAGTCGTGTCAATCAAAGCCTGTCTACAGATATATGTAAGGCAACTGGTTTAGAGAGAAGCTGTTTTGTTTCTAAACAAAACTATTTTTGACATTTAAATGGCACACGCAAGTGCAATCCACACTACCGAAAGAGCTAAATTTTAAAATCTACAAATCCAGCATGTTGCAGTTTAATAGATATGACTTGTCTTTTGCATACCTATTTCTCTGGAAGGATAATCTTTTCAGTTCCAAAGCATATTTCTAGCAGATTTCATTATAACAATAAAACAATATAACAGCATGGTGGCAAAGCCTCCATCACCATATTAAAATTCTAAATCAGATGTGGTGCTCTTCCTTGCAGTCTTTAAAACAAAGAGATGAACATCTGAAGGGACAGAGAGAATCATTTGCAAGTGGCAACGTACTAACAAGTTGTGTTTGAAAAGTATTCCAATTACCATTTAAGGATTGCGTTTCAAAACACCAATTTGAAAGAAAATAACTGTATAATGAAAACAGAAGAGCATTGTTGATCAAAATGTGGAAAATAACCGTATCAAGATGGCTCTGAAGAAGTAATTAGTTCTGCGTTTTGCATATTTAATCAAAATCAACAAAATGATCTTGCCCCATGTTGTCACGGGTGAAGGTCAAGCCTAGTTTTCATCATGTTTTTATACAAATGCAATAGTGTCTTCATGGCAAATAGATGGCTCATAATTTCAGGGATTAAAGGCAAACAGTTAAACTACCAATTTCACACAACCAAAAGAGCACTGCTGATCTTTCAGCGTATTAGGCATATTAGTGTTATGTTGGAAACTAGACTGTTTTTTGTGAAGCGGGGGGGGGGGGGGGGGGCAAATTTTATTCTGTTTCATAAACAGGAAATATTTCATAGTATTAATGCTTTGTTAGTGACTGTAATACATCAGCCGCTATGAGGGACGCCTAGCTTCTCACAGTGTGAGCCAAAAAGCAAATCGTCAGATTATGCGTGCTTAAGTACTGTACTGGGGATGAATTTTGTGAAGCCATCAGCGTGAACTTTTCTAGGTAATGAATCCTCCAAAAGATCCTTCTGCATAGTTACATCATTGAAATGTAGCATGTTTTTATCTAGTGATTTAAAAACAAAAACAAAACAAAAAAACCCACACCATCCTGCTGGTTAGAGCCATAGCTCTATCTCAGGCTTTGAAGCTCTAGAAGTATTGTTGACTTTTTCAAAGAATAATTTTAAACCAAGTGCAGTTTTCAGCCTAAATTTAGCAAAAGGTATTTTTTCAACCAATTATAATTTTGAGTCACAGCAACATGAATGGCTTTTGGGGGGGGGGGTGAGTTTACAGACCCTTTCAGGTGTTGGCTTAACAATCCATTTGCCACACAAGAGGTTCAGTTGGGCAACATTCCCTCCACTGTGCATTGAATACCTGATCGTGGTAACCTCCATGCAAGTGAGGCAATAGTTCAGTCTCCATGAACAGTCACACTTTTCTATATATTCAGTGGCTAGTAGCTTTTTTTGCCTCTCTCTACTGGGAACTCAACAGAGCAAAGAGCTATCTGATAATTTACTCTTAGCACCCTGAATAGGATTTGAAATGCAACTTGCAGGTGAAATGCTCCATATGAGTTACAAATAATCAGCAATTCTAATGAGAAAAACTGCCAGAAATAATTGGTATGCATCTTATTTCCAGTGGATATCAATACAATTAAGTGCACAATTTAGATTTACAATTCTGAAATCCATTAACTGTCCAGACAGATAACACTTGTATTTAAATGAAGTGGGTTAAGTTTTTTCTTTAAATGAAGAGGAACAAAGAGTCGGTCAGATTTTGCTATCCCATTTTCTCCCTCAATACTATCTATTCTAAGTATTTCACACTATTTTGAACGAACACTGAATTTCATACTAGTCTACATCATATGTACTGGCAAATGCAGAGATGCCAGCATTAAATAACATAGACTATTGAAGGCATTTCATTAATGTGGCGCAGAGTTTTATTGGTCTATAGATAACACATCAGAAATACTTACATTACAGAGATTTACAATTATAATATGCATAATTTCTAACTTTCCAGCTGCATATTTTAGCATTTTTTCATATTCCTTTCATCATTCCTACGGTGTGCACCAAATAATGCTAAATATTTTATGTACATCTTTTTCTCGAGAATGTCACCTGATTTTCATGAAGTCTGGCTCAGAATCAATGGGCCTAAAAATTCATGTCCAACTGTGCACCATGTCTGTGTGCGCTGTTAGCATGATTGCCTGGAGAAAGAGGACATTGGTTGGATTTCAGGCACACTTAGAGTGTAAGAAATTAAACCAAAAGCATTTGTAAGATTTATAAATTTTATTTACACATGGGCCAAGGCTTCTAGGACCCCATACGGCAGGACCCATGGATTGGTATGCAACCTTTATCCTCCACAAACAGCCTACCAGCATGCAGTCACACCCTGAGTGTCTGTGTATAGCTGCAGCCTGCTAGCCACACATCGGTCACACTGTGGTTTCAACCAGCCTTAGTCACCACTTGCACACCCAACATTCCCAGTCCCGGATTTCCCCAAAAACGTGTGTTCTGCACTGTCCACCCCTTTCCTGGGCAGTCCAGATATATTAGGTCCATTGCCCCTCTAAGGGGATCAATATACAACAGTTTGCTACCCCAAATGGAGTTACCCACACACAGTTCACAACACTGGATTAGTTCTGATTAAAGAATAAAACAATTGAACTACAAGAAGATCGTTTTTTCTCCTGACTTTCTCAAGCTGGCTTGTTTTTTAAAAGGGAAAGAAAAAACACTTGAGACATACACAGTAAATGAATAACATTAAAAAGAAGATGAAACCTCAGGTTAAGATTTTGTAGCCAATTTATTTTACTTAAAGGTCCCAGCTTATAGCTTATCTTGTTTTAGGAGTCCAACAACAGAACATGCTTATTATTTTTATTTAACCCTGTTTTCCTCTCAAATGTAAGTATTGTTTGCACTATGGCAACCCTAGAAAAATCAGTTCTAGTCCACTAAATCTCTCGCCAAACAATTAAAGTATCTTGTCAGCAATAAGTGTAAACTTCAGCAATTCTTATTACAAACATCAGCAGCTGAGGAAATAGCATTTTATATCCAAGTGTATAGAAGACAAAACAAGATATGTTCCTTTAGCTTTCAGCCAAATGTCCATATGATGTATAGCTGTCCAGCTGCAACATAGCTCAGCTCTCAGAGTGTTTTGAAGCATTAATGACCCTCTGACGCATCTCTTCAGCATGTGCCTGGCTCTTGGCTCGGTTTTCTTGGTACTGGAAGACAAGGAAATAAATGAATAATAGATAAATTATGTCACTGAATTTAAAATGCAGCACAGGTTTATCACTTGGGAAGAAAACAAGTGTTTTTGCTTGACAAATTATTAGGGCTGTCAAGTGATTAAAAAAATTAATTGAGCGATTAATCACACTGTTACACAATAATAGAATACCATTTATTTAAATATTTTTGGGTGTTTTCTACATTTTCAAATATATTTATTTCAATTACAACACATAATACAAAGTGTAAAGTGCTCACTTTATATTTATTTTTGATTGCAAGTATTTGCACTGTAAAAAAAAGAAATAGTAGTTTTCAATTCACCCAATACAAGTACTGTAGTGCAATCTCTTTATCATGAACAATTATGAACAAAAAACTGCATTCGAAAATAAAACAATGTAAAACAATGTACAATTTTAGAGCCTGCAAGTCCACTCCGACCAACTTCTTGTTCAGCCAATTGCTCAAACAAGTTGCAGCAGATAATGTTGCCCGCTTCTTGTTTACAATGTCACCTGCAAGTGAGAACAGGCTTTCGCATGGCACTGTTGTAGCCAGCGTCGCAAGATATTTACATGCCAGATGCGGTAAAGATTCATATGTCCCTTCATGCTTCAACCACCATTCCAGGTGGGGGCCTTCGTCCATGCTGATGACAAGTTCTGCTCAATAACAATCCAAAGCAGTGCGGACCGACGCATGTTCATTTCATTATCTGAGTCAGTTGCCACCAGCTGAAGGTTGATTTTCTTTTTTGGTGGTTCAGGTTCTGTAGTTTCTGCATCTGAGTGTTGCTCTTTTAAAACTTCTGAAAGCATGCTCCACACCTTGTCCCTCTCAGATTTTGGAAGGCACTTCAGATTCTTAAACCTTGAGGTGAGTGCTGTAGCTATCTTTAGAAATCTCACATTGGTACCTTCTTTGCATTTTGTCAAATCTGCAGGGAATGTTCTTAAAATGAACAACATGTGCTGGGTCACCATCCAAGACTGCTATAACATGAAATATATGACAGAATGCAGGTAAACCACAGAGCAGGGGACATACTATTCTCCCCCAAGGAATTCAGTCACATATTTAATTAACGCTTTATTTTTTAACAAACGTCATCAACATGGAAGCATGTCCTCTGGAAGGTGGCTGAAAAGCATGAAGGGGCATACGAATGTTTAGCATATCTGGTACATAAATACCTTGCAATGCCACTACAAAACTGCCATATAAAATGCCTGTTCTCACTTTCCGGTGACTTTGTAAATAAGAAGAGGGCAGCATTATCTCCAGTAAATGAAAACAAACTTGTTTGTCTTAGCGATTGGCTGAACAAGAAGTAGGACAGTGGACTTGTAGGCTCTAAAGTTTTACGTCATTTTGTTTTTTTAGTGCAGTTATGGAACAAACAAAAAAATCTACATTTGCAAGCTGCACTTTCACAACAAAAATTGCACTACAGTACTTGTACAAGTTGAATTGAAAAATACTATTTCTTTTGTTTATCATTTTTAGAGTGCAAATATTTGTAATAAAAATACACTTTGATTTCAATTACAACACAGAATACAATATATATGAAAATGTAGAAAACATCCAAAATATTATAACTGCGATTGTGATTATTTTTAATCGCGATCAATTTGGTTTAGTTCATTCCGTGAGTTAACTGCGATTAATCGAAAGCCCTACAAATTATGCTTCCATTGACAACATTATTTTCATTATTTCATGTTTTTATTGACTCAGTTTACTTTAAAATTAACAAAGGGTCTGTTTCATAATAAAGAGCATTTTTCTCAGTCTGAAACAAGTACAAAAACTGAATAACAATTCTAGTAAGAGTACAGCATACATACAGCAAGAGTACAGCAAGGAGGAAACTTATCTACCAAGCCATCTCACGGATGAGAAATATAGCTATCTTTGGATCACGAAGATACTTAAAGAGGTGCACCTGTGTAGAAAGTAAGCACCATGCCAAGGCACTGCTCCAGACAATTCCTCCCTAAGGCCTTGGCTACACTGGCAATTCACAGCGCTGCACCTGCTGCGCTCAGGGGTGTGAAAAAACACCCCCCCCCGAGCACAGCGAGTGCAGCGCTGTAAAGCGCCAGTGTAATCAGCGCCTGCAGTGCTGCAAGCTATTCCCCTCGGAGAGGTGGAGTACTTGCAGCGCTGCGAGAGAGCTCTTGCAGCGCTGGCGGCGCGACTACACTCGCGCTTCATAGCGCTGCCTAATGATAAGATGTAGATGCAGAAAGTAGAGGAGCCATCCTGGACATGAAGTTGTCCTCTTTGTAACTTAAGTATCTGTGATCCACACATATCTACATTTCTAAGCCAAAAAGATAAGACAGCTTTATGCTCCTGCTGGTATATTTTGTCAGACAGATGATGGTTATAAATTGGGCTCAGAAGGATTAGATTTTTATTGGTAACTGTCGGAAAACATCAATTTCACACACGGGTTGCCGAAAAAAATATTTTCATTGATAACTGAAATTTACAGATAGACAAGGTAACAAAAATACTGTTGGAGCACTTAGTCTGATTTTAAAATATTTACTTTGTATATCTGGACATGTGATGATGACAATTTGTGTTTTGTTATAAAGCTTTAACTTGTTGAATCTCAAAGTATATTGTCATTAAATAATTACTGTCTGATCCCACTCTCAATTTCCTGCAACTGTGAAAATTTAAGTTGAATAGAAAAAAATGCTTAAAACAAACATCGCTATTATCTGCAAAAATTATAAAAAACAATCTAATTCTGCCTAGCCTAGTTATAACGTTCCTTTAGCAGCCCAATGGCTGAGCAACACATTCCCTCACAGCATTCTGGACGTTAACAGGAGCCAGCCTGCTAGGACACGCCATATTAACAGAACCTCCCCGCAATGACATCTAAAGCCTTGTTTTCAGCTTAAAGGGTCCAATGATCATGACCAGATGCCTGACAATGTCCCATTTCAAAAATTTATCTCTCAAGTGTTACTGTTGATCTCAGCTGAGCCAGAAACAAATTGGAATAACCCCATGAAGTTCATGCAGTCTGGAACAAATGCACAAGAGATTTGGCCATCTTCAGTGTCTTGGATGACCACAACAGACAGTCTTGGTGACCAACATCAGAACTGGCAAGAGCTCAATAAGCTCAGGTAGGAACTTGTAGCCTACATAATTCAATTCTCAAGTTCATTTTATTCCAGGACATTCATTCACATTTAAATAAATTCCAGACATGTCTGATGATATGGCACAAGTAAGACCACACCTAGAACACTGTGTACATTTCTGGGTACCCCAGCGCACAAAGATTTGATACATTTCAGGAAAGAACAACAACAAAATCAAAAGACTGGGGGGTTGGGACAGGAGTGGCGAGGCATTAGATATAATTTCTTCATAAATCAAAACAGCATGATTTGGCATAATTACAAAACCCAAAGTGATAGTTCTCTGAATCTGAAAAGTATGAAGACCAAAAAGGGGGAAATTGATTAGGATGACTAAAGGAGCATAGTGGAAAGAAAGTGAACAAAGGAAACTTTCCCTTATTCAGCCCACACTTTCCTAACAGGTCCTCAAAGGTCTCAATAGAGAAAGACTCAACTGTGCAATAGTCTGCCAAAGAAGTGATGAAAACCCTTTAACTTGAGGAATTTCATACTAGACTAGACAATGTACTTACAAGTATACTTTTGGGGACAATCTTTAGCATTAATAGGAGTCTGGACAACTTGAATTAGGTCTTTTCTATCACTGTTTTCTACAATTGGGCCCAAACTATTTTTATTTTCGTGTTAAATTTTGAAAAATGCAGTCTGTGTTAAGCAATTGCCTGCATCTGCAATGCTTTTCTAACTTTCAAAGAGCAACAAATTGTTTACTGCTACAATAGCTTCCATACAGCTGTAAGTCTAAATATTGCCAGTTTAGTGATATACATTTTAAAAGCAGATCCACAGGGGGTTACTGACTACCAGTACATAACTAGAAAGTGCTTACAGTCAAATGTTTTTTATATTTCTTAAACTCAGCCCTGGTCTACACTGGACAATTAGGTCGTTCTAGCAACATTGATCAGGGCTGTGGAAAATCCACACCTTCCCGAGCAGTGTAGTTAAGCTGACCTAAGTCCCCATGTAGACGCACTAGGTCAACAGAGGAATTCTTCCAATTGTCCTAGCTACCGCTCTTGGGGAGGTGGATGTCCTACGCCAACGGGAGAATCCTTCCTGTTGGCACAGGTAGTGTCTGCATTGATGCGCTACAGCACCACAGCTGTAGTGTTTTAAATGTAGACAAGCCCTCAGACAACAGTGAAAATCAGTGCAGCTAAAAGCCACTATACAAGTTATTCAAGTCTGCATTTACTGAATATTTTTGTTTGTGAAAATAATCAATGTGCAAAGATCTTGTCTAAAGGCCCTATCTTAGGAACTCTGTACACCTCATAGCTCCTGCATGGCATGAGACATTAGTTCTCTTCCCAATATTAAATCCCGATATCTTTAAAAAAGACATTGATGACATATTTCCTATGGATTTCATATGAGAGGCAACAGCTACTCTTCACCTAAAGGAAAGCACATGTGTGTAATTTAAACAAGTTTCTCTTCCAATATAAACACACACTGGGTGTCAAGGGCCAATAAAAAATACAATTTTCTTTGGATGCTGTCCTTAGGAAGAAGGATCCTCCCAGAATTTGCCTCCACAACTAGTATTGCGGCAATAGGTCTTAACTACAAAAGCATTTTGGTTTGCCCCAGAATAAGATTTTGATTAAAGTGAAGTGCATTTATAACCACACAAAACGTCACACTGATTGAGATAATATTACATGCAAGTGATATTTGAACAGTTTCAAACCACTTTGTACATGATTTCTCCTTATGTAAGATGTATGTTCCCACTCACAAACGTCAAGGGACTAACACAGCTTCCTAAATGAACAAAGACTAGTACCAGAAGAGTTACATTTTAAAAAGCCAACACTTTGAGTAAATTTCAAAGATTTTGAAAATAGAAAAATGGGCCTACTTTATGACAGAACATTGCTCACATTTACACCTGGCTACCACCTAAGAAATCATGGACCCAGACCTCATTTGAAATCAACAAAACTCCAACCCCTCTCCAATAATGAAGAAAACTATGGCAAATAGTATTCCCCCACCTCAAGTACATACTTCTTTATAGCATGTGGTTTATATTTAGCTTCCCATCATTATATGCTATTTGTATTTTTGCTTAAGAAGAGAAGCTTTGTTCTTAAAGTACATTGTTCCTGATACTATATGCTTATGATTCATCTGATAAGACACAAGAAAAAAAAGTAGTATTTTCTGGTGTAGTACTTAGATTCTGCTGGTTCTAAAGTACATACCAATTCACGGATGGGCTTTTTCCTGTTTTTTCCACCCATGTATATTCACTACAGTCATTTCAAATAAGATATTTTGAAATTGCTAACTATTACACCAACAAGCTTTTGACCCTTTCAGGAAGTTGCAGTTACACTATTATATCAATTATCACTGTAGCCATAATTTAAGGGAGCAGATACTTCACAGTCTTTTTTCTTTCAATGAAAAAAAAATTAGAATTGTACTGGAAGATTGGTAAATTATATATCTCAGTTCACCAGTGTGTAACCTTTACATTGCAATGCCTCGACATGCCTTTAATCTGGCCAATTCAACTGTGTGTGGGTATCAAAGGGATGTTAAATTATCTGGGAGACATAAGCCCATTCGCTGATGTTGATAAGAAATCAAGGAAAATGTTGTTTGTATGTTTACATCTGTCTATATCCTATACTCAATTATAGGATCAAAGATGTGTATACACTGCATGGAACTAATTAATATTTCCTGTACTGTCCTCACTTATCTGTCCATGTTTTGATGAATGGCCAGCAATTGCCTAATGTAAATGGGTGTAACTGAACTATTTGTGTATGCATGAGAAGTCGGTAGTTAACTTCAAAGCAAAGGTCGTTGGTTTAACAATGGAGACTCACAAACTGTTTGCATTACCTATTCTTCGTCAGAGAAAAACCCATGCTGTGGCAGTAATCCTCACTGAGCTACTTTCAACTACAAATACTGGACCATGTGAACAATCCTGCTATCTCTGATTCATTTCTGGACTGCTTGTACTCTGGCAGGGAGAGTTCTAAGCATATGGACAGAGATTCCTAGAATTGATTTTTGGGAAGCCCTGAGGACTTATGAAAAGGATTCTAACAGACTCTGAATCTATGCTTTAATCTCTTTAATAACTCATTTCTTTTCTTAGACAATTAATCTTTGGTTAGTTTACTAAGGAGTGGCTAACAGCTGTTTTTGGTGAGACTGGGGGTGAGTGACTGGTCCTTTGGGACTAGAAGAACGTAATGTGTGGTGTTTTTTGCGTTTAATAACCTTACATCATACAGTCCAGGTTGTCTGGGTGATTATAAGGGGCTGGAATGCTAAGGAGGCTGTATGTGACTCCTTGGTAAAACTAATATAGTGATCCAGGGGTACACTTTTGTTACCGGCTTGGTAAAATCTAACTGTAGAATATACCACCAGTTTCGGTGTGTCTGTCCTGTTTTCTGACAGCTTGTCCTGAGTTTGGCATTCTTAGCTGTGACCCACTCTAGGCATCATGACAATATCTACTCTTATTTTTCATAGTTTTATTTCACTGAGTTTGTATTATAGTTTGAGAAGGTTTTTTAAAGCATGCCATTAGAGTTCAAGCAGATGAAGTGGCATTCTCACAGATTTATAATGTAGGGCAAGCTATTCTGGCTGTTCAGTATTTGGCTTTTCAAAGCCACATTTTCAGAACATGGCCACTAACTTAGCACATACAACTCTGCGTATGCACAATTCTGCATTCTATCATTTGACACACACAAATTCTGAATATACCAGTTCTCTCATCCTGGCATGACATTACAAGTGTAAAGATCAGAGTGGATCCTGTTGTGATAACTGGGCCTACAAATTTACCCTAATTCTAAGCTCAACTGTAAAGATTAAATTAATCTAAACAAAAAAATGACCCCAAATTTGGATCACAAGCCTACCCTGCATTTCCATGAGGTATGCCAAGTTTCAAAGCAAGCCGAGTAACCATGCAGATTTTGGAGCACTTAGACTCATCCTTTAAATAGAAAGGGCTTCTCAACCCTAACTACAGGAGAGTTGGTGCTCCACTATGATTATTAACTAAACTTTTTCATTTTTCTTTTATCTGCAGTACAGTATTGTAATGAGCAGAGTCCTGAGCAGGAATGTTATATCTATAGGAATCACTTAAGGCCCAATTCTGCGACTCACTGAATAGTTCACTGAAGCCAATAACTCGAGTAGTGCTCGACAGACAGAACTTAGTCATTCTGTTTCATGCTGTATAATGCACACATAGGTATCCTATGAAAAGAAAATACCAAGGAAATTTGCTTTATTTTTATTTTTTTAAGCAGGAACAATCTGTGAAATGTTAATCAGTTTCTGTTTGGAAGCATTTTATTTTGTTAGAGATGCGTGAGGGTGGGAAAGGGTATTACATATCTGCCTACTTTTGGATCTCTAGAAAAGGCTCCTGCCTTTGGTATAAAAAAATAAACAACATTGGAGTGGAAGAGGCACTATTTCTTTTGAACATGATCTCACAATGAGTTCTGTTTTCATGTGCACTAGAGCTGAATGAACATTTCTGCTGAAGAGGGACCAACATACTGTCAAGCTTAAAAACACTTACAAAGCAAGCAACTAACAGTGTAATTGCCAAACAAGAGTGTTAATGAAAAAGACCTTTCTGGGTGATATACAGAATGGAAAAAAAATACTATAATTATTTGTGAATCAAAAAGTACATAATGTACTTCTGGGCTATTTAACAGTGCTGCTAACCCAAAGTAAGGGTAGCAAGATAGAAAACAGATAATTACTGATTCAATTTTATGGAAGAATGAATAATATTCTAAACTTTACTCAATGGTTATTTTAACTAGTGCTTTATACAATATCAGAGTCTACATTTAACTGAAAAAGTATCAAAGTTAGGTCACTATCCTGCAACTGGATCCACAAAGGTGGACATCTATGCCCTTACGGCACTCTGTTGGCTTCAGCAGCGTTCTGCATGAGCTCAGAGGTCTGTCCACAGGGATCCATTTTCAGGATTGAAGCCTACTACTGATTACAGAAATAAGACTGCTGATAGAGGGCTTTGATTCTGTATCCTTGCACAGATGGGTCATAACCTGGTCTCTCACTTTGCACATACAATTTTCCATGCACAGACCTTTCTCACAACAAATTGTATACTAGATAAAAGACACAACTGCACTGTTGCTATCCACTTTAATATAACCTTTGAAAACTTTAAGTGTTTCAGTTACATTTGAAGTTAGTACCTTACCTCCTTCTTTAAGCATTTCCGCATCTCACGGTCAAGGTCATTGCAGTGGCCAAAAAATCTCAAAAAGGTGTGCTAAGTAGTTATGGGAGAGAAAACACAATTTGCCATGTTATATAATTCAAAGTTTCTGCTTGAAAAGCATTACAGCGACTTAGAAATTTATTTGTAGCATATATTGTGTTCTATTCTTCCTTTCACTTCCTCTCTTGTAGAAGTGTGCTGAGTTTCAAGAGAATTTACTCTATCTAAAAATCAGAGCTACTTCTTTGGAAGCGTTGTTACTCAGTTAGGGCCCAAACTTTGATGGTGCTTATCCTTCTGTTTACTTTACTGGGAGTTGTTCAACATGTGTTAGGAGGCACTCAACACATTGCAGGATCAGACTCTTAAATAAGATATACAAATTGAAGTCAGATGCATGGCTTATTGACAACATATTTAAAGCATGTACTTATTAACTTGAAGGCCAATTCTGTAACCTTTACTCACCAAACAGTATAGCTAGTTTCAGTGGAACTGCTCGTGTGTGTAAAAGTCTCTGGAACAGATTCTTCCGACTAGAGAGGTTTGCAACCATTGTGGAGGGGATGTGCTCAATCCCCAGGATAAGGCACAGTGTACACTGCTTCTCCTTCACAGCTCTAACAGGTGTAAATCCAGAACTACAGTTTCAGATTAAACTGCATACCATCCCGGCCACATAAGAGTGTGCTGCTTGTCCAAAATATCTGAAGCTGCTATACAGTGGGAGACTGGTACTACCGAAGTGGACATAGCCCAAAAGAGAAGAGAAGGTAAGCCCCTCCAACCTACCGCTCAGATCAGCCCTAATTTCCCATTTCACCAAGCCCATGACTTGAGACTGCATTCACTCTGGTTAAGAGTCAAATCACGGCAATTTCTGGGGCTTCATATATATTTAAATCTTATCCCATTTCTAAGATACTGATGGGGAAACTATGGCCATTGTTCTGATTGGCTGTCTATAGCTATCTTCCCCAAATAAGTCAAGTGTCTGCCATGAAAGTATGGCACCTAAAGTCAAAACTTTCTGAAGCAATGCCAAAGAGCATTGTCCAAAAATATGCCCGTACCTCCTAAAAGTGCCATTTTCACAGAATGATAATCAAGATGACAGTACCAAGTGGTTTGGCAGTAGAATGCTATATAAGGCCTTGGTTACACTTGCGAGTTACAGAGCAATAAAGCAGCCCCGGGCGCCCTAGCTCACTCCCCGTCCACACTGGCAAGGCACGTAGAGCGCTCTGACTCCGCAGCTACAGCGCTGCTGGTACTCCACCTCGGCGAGTGGAATAATGTTTGCTGCGCCCCCGCTGGAGCACCGCGGCGGCAGTGTGAACGAGGTGTTGCATTATTACGCTGTGATCAGCCTCCAGAAACATCCCATAATCCCCTTAAGTCAAGTGGCCACTCTTGTCATTGTGAAATCGGCTTCAGGAATGCGGAAATGCCCTTTCAAAGCTCCGTTTCGGAGAAGTCGGCTGCTTATCAGCTCCGAGAAAAAGCAAACATTTACTGTTTGCTTTGAGTGAGTGGGGGGCGGGGAGGTCTGAACTTACAAGACAGCATGCTGACACACTCTCAGCACCCCAAAAACCAATTCTCTTTCCCCCCACATACACACAACATACTCCCTGTCACACCCCACCCCACCCCATTTGAAAAGCACGTTGCAGTCACTTGTATGCTGGGATAGCTGCCCATAATGCACCGCTCCCAATGCCACTGCAAGTGCCGCAAATGTGGCCATGCCGGTGCGCTTGAAGCTGTCAGTGTGGACAGATTGCAGTGCTTTCCCTACTGCGCTCTATGAAGGCGGGTTTAACTCACAGCATTCTACATCTGCAAGTGTAGCCATGTCCTAAGACACCCAAATTACTCAAAAACCTACAAAAACTCAGATTCAAAAATACTTGCAACTATAGGCTAGACTGAGTCTGCTTAGTCCACCTTGTGCAGAACACATCCGTAGCAAAATAGAAAGGGTTTGGTACACAGGGATGGCTCTAAAAAAGACTGGCCTTTACCGTAACTCCCTTTATACCCCAGCTTGGTTACCCATGCCATTCAATATGGAGGCGCTATAAGGAGCACAGAAACTCGAAAAGTATGGTGAAGTCCACAGTATTTTAATGAAGAGCAATACATCTCTGCTAAAGTTTAGTATGCATATATTAGCCTGTATGTGTGGCATACAGAGACCATGTTAAATGTTGTTTTCAATAAATCAGGCTAGTAATTAGTTTTACAAAAATCAGCTTCTATGAAGAAAAAGTGTTGACTGTTGAACTCTAAGCTATTTAAAATAGAAACCAGACACTTGCTTCTCGTTTAAATTGTAGCAAATACTTTTATTTGCATTCCTGTGACTTATAAGCAAACATATGATTTATACATATGTGGGGTGGGAGACCATTAATGTGTGTGTGAAGTTTCAGCCAGAGTTACAAATTTCAGAGTTACAGACTCCTGGGAATAGGAAGGGGTTAATGAAGATGCTGACAGACACTTCACTGTAGCAGTGCTATAATTAATTAGTTTATACCTCTCTGTACTTAATAGGAGGGCATCAGATGATACCACACACAGCAATTGCACGTGATAAGCCCTCACTCTCCCCAATTTGTACTCTACTACGAGCAAATCCTGTTTAAAAAAAACCATTTTCATTTTAACTAGTACAGACTTTGTTTAATTCTTAACAGAATATACCCTATATTTGCACTTCAATTTTTGCGTGAGCTCTCATGCTAGGCTTACTCCATTCTTCCCAAGGTGCACTGCTGCAGGCTATCTACTCAACATGAATATTCTGCAGAGCATTTAAGATGCTGTAGTTCACTCACACTGTCACCTAAAGTCTCTTCCTTACATATAAACATTTGGTTCATGGGGTTTCTAACTAACAAATTTAGTTGACAGACAGAATTAATTCAATAAATTTGGAATGATAAGATTTCCACACAGCCCTATTTAGGGGGAGGGAAGGAATTTGGAAATAAGTGTGTTATGTTACAATACCTCCCACCCCATATAGCCATAACATAATCCCTTTAGCAAAATGAGTTATCTTTATTGTGAATCACGTGAACATACCAATAGCCAACCTCCCTGACTCCGTCCGTCCTGCAAATTGTTTAAGTAAAATATGAATGGGGTCAGACTATCCCAAGTGAACACGTCCACACACAAACGGTAAGAAAATTCATAGGTCATGACTGCAATTGTTACCATTAACTCAGCCCCTTTATGTTTAGAATTGGACATTACAGCTTACCTCACCATTATAAAATACCACAACAGCAAACAGCTCATCACACAGTATAAAAGGGCCAATATTTAGCACATAAATTAAGCCTTCGCAGGGATGCAAATTTGTTTTTGCGTGGTAGTGCAGTATTATAGCAATAGACAGTTGTTTACAGTATGTCAAAATAGACAATATTTTACAAGTACAAAAATGTTATAGATTTACATTTATATTTAGATACGTATAGTGCATCATCCAAGTGCAAACATGTGCTTACTGTATATAGGTACATACATGGACACTAATTATCTTCCAGAGGCTTTAGTCTTCCTGAATTAGAAGAATTCAAAATTCATTTTTTAAAAAGTAAATATTACATTCCTCTGGCTAAAGTCTTTTAGTGTGAGCAACCATTTTTTCCAGTATGGGAAAGAGCTAAATTATTTCTAATGAAGTAGCACAGAAATATTCCCATGCAGATACACTGATTGTCAAAGTTTCAGCCCAAATGTTTTACAACTTCTGTACCACACCTGCCCATTTAGAAATCCAATCATTATTTTGCAGTTAGTACAGTTAGTTTAAGTATGAAACAAAAGAAGGCTTTGAAAAAAAACAAAACAAATACTGTTCAACTATTAACCAATGTAGATTTTTTGACATGGTACAAAACATATTACAAAACTTAGCACAGATTCATATTTTTGTATGTCTGTATATACTTAAGATTGAAACACATTAATACAGTAACTCCTCACTTAAAGTCATCCCGGTTAACGTTGTTTCATTGTTACATCGCTGATCAATTAGAGAACATGATCATATAAAGTTGCGCAATGCTCCCTTATAACATTGTTTGGCAGCCACCTGCTTTGTCCACTGCTTGCAGAAAGAGCAGCCCGTTGGAGCTAGCTGATGGGGGCCTGGAACCAGGGTGGACCTGCAGCCTCCCATCAGCTCCCCTAAGTTTCCTGTGCGGCAGCTGCCCAGCAAGCTATCAATTGCTGGGCAGTTCAGCTGTCCCTCCCCCCACTGTCATGCGCTGCTCCTGCCCTCTGCCTTGGAGCTGCTCCCGGGAGCCTCCTGTTTGCTGTGCGGGGGGAGAGGGGAGGAGGAGAGAAGAGGGGTGCTAATGTCAGGGTGTCCCCACCCCACTCTTGTACCTTATCTCCACAGAGCGGGGGGGGGGCGAGGGGGACATGACAGGGCTCAGGATGGAGGGAGCTTGCTGGCAGCAGTTGCTGTCTCAACTTGATGATCTACTTAAAAAGGCAGTGTACTTAGAGTGGGGTCAGAGTACTTAAAGGGGTAATAGTGTGTCTCTCTCTCACACACGGTATGTATCTTTGTCTCTCTCTGACATGCTGTCTCCCCTCCCTCCATTCCTGCTGCCTTGTAGAGTGTGAGGCTACATTAACAACAACGTGTTAATCCGTGAGGACTCAGCCGAGTGCTAGATCATCATTTAGCAGCAAGGCATTCCCTGGGAAATATCCCACCCTCTTACTCCACCACCTCAACCAAGCTTCACAATCATCATTGCTGTGTACAGTATTAAATTGTTTGTTTAAAACTTATACTGTGTATATATATATATATATATGATGTCTTCTGTCTGGCGAAAAAAATTTCCCTGGAACCTAATCCCCCATATTTACATTAATTTGTATGGGGAAATTGGATTTGCTTAACATCATTTTGCTTAAAGTAGCATTTTTTAGGAACATAACTACAACGTTAAGCGAGGAGTTACTGTATTAAAGGTAATCTCAGAATGTAGTAGTTGCACTATATAGTCTCA